TTAATGGTATTTTGAGAGAGTGAGAGGATAAAAGTACATGGCCATCACATAATTAATAGGAAACTAAAATTATTTTTGAAAACTTTGGAAAGATTACATAAAAAGTCTCAAAACTTTATTGTTAGAAGGTAAAGATTTCTATTTTCCCCTCACCTCTTACATTTAGCATAAATGACAGTGAAGCATTTTTTTCAAATCTAAGAAACAAGTATAAAATCTGATTTTTAATTTTTCATGAAACGAATTTTGTATATAATTCTTATATCATTATTAATACCAATAAATCAGGACCATGTAGAAAACAAAAACAGAGGATTAGAAAAGATAACCAATTGACATGACAGATGAAGAAGATACTAGGTGAGAAGAAACATGTATATAACAAAGCCTACCATTGGGAAATTGTGGGAATCAAAGTCAAGCAGTTAATTACTAACAAAGATGGCAACCATGTTTCTTTTGTCTTTCACAGTGAATGCATAATTAGCACTTAATACTAAGACTAGGGAATAAACCATCTATAATCTACTGAAAAAGACCATCTGCTTCTATAAATTTTGTTCTCATACACTTGCCAAAAGAAGAGAACACATTAACAAAATAATGGGCCCTGCACTGGTAATTGCTAGGTTGTTTGCAGTTGTGCTGCTGCTATTAGAATTTAATAAGCCATTCCTTCTGCTAAATTAATAAGCAGCCAAGATTATGTAATAGCTGCTTTCAGCTGCTAATTATTTTTCCCACAATTCCTTCCCCTCCCTACCCCTACCCCCACCTTTTTTTGGCTAGGAGCAGGAAGGGAGACTGCCAGTATGTCATCAGCAAGTCTCCCGTCCTCATTTTCAGAGCCACAGAGCAACATTAGGAGGATAATCAGTTTAAACTTGGAGGTGGCTATCTCAGGAACCTTGAGGACGTAAGTGTTTCGTACAGAAAAAGAGAAAAGAAGCATTTGAATTCAGAGGGCGAGTTTTCATTGTGTAGCATTAGAGCTATCTTTTAACTGGTTAATGGCATCTGTTTCTTGTAGTAAGAGAGAAATGGGACATTTGAAAGTACCTTTGGGGCATGACTGGGTAGGGAGAAATCTGTTGGGGGCGAAGGGGACCTAAAGAACTACAGAAAGTCAGCTCTGTGCCATGTGTCATCCCCTTTCTTTAATATTCCAGTATACATTAATCATACATGTTAGTAGGAGACTTTGCAAGCAGCATAGTAGTGCTTGAAAAGGGGAAGTATTACACATTTTTTTGTTTTGTCATACAAAGGCCTTTTTTAAAATGCCCCCAAAACTACTATCTTAGTTTCGTAGATACTAAAATGCACACAAAAAGAATATAATTCCTAATAAAGGATTCCTTTACATTGATTACATTTAGCTTCGTGAAAAAATTAGCATTTCTTTTTTTACTTTAGGCCATTAAAAAAATTCTGGCGACTATACCTAGGAACCTCTGCAAAAGGGACATGGCCCAACAAAAGCAATTTTCTCGCTTCCTTTGTAGGAACCTAGGTGACTTGGATAATGAATAGCATGCGATATGGGAAACCCGTGGCTCTTCAAGGAAGGTCACCTAATCCCGTGGGACTCCCCTTTCCTTATCTGTAAATGACTAGATGATTCATCCATTCTATCATTCAGAAAATTACGAACATCCATTATGCCCCGGCATTACGCTCAGCATTACAGCTCTTAACAAATTTATCATTTTATGGTCTTTATCAGTCAACTCACATTTATTGTGTTATACACCAGGCAGTGAACTAGACTGGGATGCAAAATGAATACAACTTAAGGTGTGCTAAATAAAGGCTAACGGGCATGTGGGTGAAAGAGGGAATCGCTCTTACAGGGTTTTAGGGTGAGGCTTCATAGGAGATGTGACATTTGAGAGCAAGGGCATGCCAGGCACAGCAAGTCGTCGGCAGTGCTAAACTGGAACCCAGGCGGCTGGTGGGGCGACCCAGTGTGAAGGAAGCGGGATCTCGAAGGTGAGGTGCTGTCCGGGCTTTTCAGCCGAACGGATGGTAACTCCGCAGCACCGAGGATGGGCGAGGCGAGCCCAGGGAACAGACTCCCGCGAAGCCTGGGGCGAAAGGTGTCTGGGCTAAGGCTGGAGCAGTGCAATGGGAAGGAGAGGCCGGATTCCGGACAATTTTGAGGCAGAATGATAGCAAAATGCCCGTGAATGGGTGACGAGCTCCACAGAAGAGCTGACTTGTTTTTCCAGAGTTGCAGCACTCCCTCGTCTCCTCCCACCCTTGTCGTCAGCCGTCACACCTCCCCGACCCACCCTCTGGGGACACAGAGAATCATTAGAGCTCAAACGAGGCTCCTCGCTGTCTGGAACTTCCCGGCCCCGCACCTCCCGCTAGGCTGAGGACGCTGCAGAATCCCGTCCTCCTATCATTAAACAGGCAGCATAGCCGCCCGCGCGCGTCCCGGAGGCACCAGCAAGAGTGCGCGGGCGCG